TAATGATCTGCCTGATCTGCCTCGACACAAAGCAATGTGACCTGAGCTCACCTGGAGTCTGCAGGAACATGCAAAAGCATTTTTCTGGATTTCTTTTTTCACAGCATACAGAGAATAACTGTCATCTTTCACTCCGTGTCTCAGGCGGATTTTTCTGAAACCGTGTTTGATTTGTTGCTCGTCCTGCCTCAGATCCACAGCAGAGATCACGTCGTCCTCGCTGGATCCCCGTACAGGCATTTCTGCACGTTGAACTCCTCAGCTGTGGCCTAGATTCAACCATAAAGTGGAACAAACATCTGCAGCCGTGACCTCAATCTCTGGAATAAATTACCTTCATCAGGGACGTTTTCAGGCTGCAGGGGCGCCACAGAGGATGAAATCAGATGCCCTCTCTCTGTCTAACCCTGAAAGGCACACCTCAGGCCGCCACAAAGAGTCTGCAGCAGAGAAATGTTCTTTTTCAAGGCAAAAATAAAACTGAACTCATCTCACGTTTCATTTTATCAGTGAGTAACACAGAGGGAGAGACGACTAAACCGAAGATGTGTCTGAAGCACTGCAGCTCCTGATTAGTGGATCAAGTTCCTCCAGCAGCCAATAAGATCTCTGATCAGAAACTGACTGATCTGTTTGCTCCAATGGTCTCCATCAGCAACGCTGTTAAAAAGTCCACGTTGATTTATTTCAGCCTGCTGCATTTCACATGAATTATGATTATTATGATCTTTTATTTGTCATCATGGTAACTATCCATTTTGTTTGGTCATACAATCATCTCTATATCAGTTTTTAATGGCCTGTGTTTTGCTTGTAAAGCACTTTAAACTGCATTTCTTCTTCTTCTTTTCTAATTCATGCATTCACAACAGGTCAACAAAATATTACCTAAATAAATCCCAGCCCACCGTTGCATAGGCTGCCATAAGACCGAGGGGTTACCAAAGACTAGCCTTTATCACGTGTCCATCATTATCCAGATACTCGTGTTCAGAAAACTAAAACAGTCACATCTGAGCAAATAAACTCAGCTTCAGGAAAGTCAGCGTCTCCGGCTGCTCCACCGATTACAGAAGACAAACTGCAGCCGACAGACGGATGATGTTTGCTTTCCCTCCTGCAGCATCAGCAGCTAAATGAATTCCTGGAGTCCAAACATCCTCCCCATGATGCACCTGTACAGCCTCCAGCTCTGAACCAGTGACAGACAAGAACAATGAAGCTTCTACAAGACATGACAGCGTAGAGGCTCGCTAACTCGGGTTTCGTCTCAGCTCAGCTCACTTCAACATGACAGAGAAAACGTTTGAGAAACATCTGAGGCTCAAGTTTTCCTCCGCAGAAAGCAGCCGACCTGCTGAAGTGCCCCGAAGCAAGGTTCTGAACTGACAGTCCGTCTGAACGTGTTCCCTCCAAGTGGTGAAAGGTTCTGTACGTCCGGAGACAGACGCCGACGCTGCTGGTTTAAATCTGAACACGACTCTAAATAAAGCACGACAAACTGAATCTGAAGCGTTTACAGTTGAATTTTAACTGTAGTCAAATTTAGATCTGAATTACACACAGTGAATTTAAACTGAATGTGAAAGTTTACAGAGATTTAGATTTTCAATGCAGCAACTGAATTCAGTTTCATGCAGTGATATTTATTTTTCAACTACAATTCACTTTAATTTATGTGATTTAAATTCAGATTTTCATGGCAATTATTCAAGTTATTAGACGTTTAAATTTTGTGTCCAATAAAGTTTTTAAATAAAATGGGTCAAGTTAAGGTATTTAAATGCAAATTAAGCAACTCAAACACATTTTTAAACACAGTGATTCAATCTTTTTTGTTTTTTTGTCGTTCCTAAAGTTAAACAGTAAANTGCATTGTGATGGATATGATTTGGGTGTAATCAAGTTCATGCTTCTTTGCTCTCTTTTCACCTTTTCAACCCTCAGAAATTATCTTTTCATGTCACCAATGTTATTTCCACACATTGCCGTGTCGTGTTCATGCGGATCAGATCCGACGTAGAAGCGTGACGAGGACGAGCCAAAGACGCTGAAAGCTTGATTACAAACGGTGTGAATCACTTCCTGGCTTCCGTACATCACCCGACATTAACTGCTTTCATTAAGCGTTGCTGCTTCTGCTCCAGATCTACAAAACGTTGAGTTTTTCGCTTTGTCAACCTCTGTTTTTGCTTTTCTCTTTAATTTCTCACACACAACTGGCTCGGCTCGGGTTTTCCAGCGAGTGAAACAACAGGCGACGACTTGAGTGTGTGCACAAATCTGAGATGAGCCGGACGATTCGGAGATGTGGAACAAAGCTAATGAGATGTTCTTCTTGGAAAATCCCTTCAGAAGCTGCTTTACAGATCAAAGCCGATTTAAATATTATGAACATTAAAGCACGTTCACGCTCGCTTCTGCGTTTCCCTCTGAACACTCGTAGAACTGACTTTTTTTGTTCGGTCTATTAGGCTGCAGCGAAACCCCAGAGTCCTCCACAGCTCTGCAGGGGATTGTGGGTAATGGTCTGCCAAGAAACAATAGCTGTGAGGGTCCCGGAGTGCACAGGCTGTTTGATTGGAGAGTCTCTGAGTTCACATCTCAGCGTTTAGAATCAGAATACGTCCTCGCAATAGATATTATAGTGTTTTTTTGGAGCTCCTGCGCTTTTGTGTTTATGTTTACGT